TTGTAAATTTTAGTCCACAAGCAAGCGTCCTACAGCTTTGTCCACTTCGTCGCTTTCAGTAGGTGAGATCGTGGTCAAACGCTTGGCTGGTTTAATTTAATCACAAAGAAACAGTTTAATTTTTTTTAAATTTATTTTTTTGTTGAATAAAATAAAACATAACTGAGAATCAAACATATTTATTAGACGATTTAAAAATATTTAGCAGTGAGACAACTGACTTTGTTTTGCAGAAATAAGTGCATCAAAATTTATCTCGACAGATTTTGTTGCTACAAGAAAACAGTTTTCTAAATGGAAATCAGTAATTTATGTTCTCACTTGTGATTTTATATGATCCATACGACTTAAAAGCTGCTCACACGCATACGTGTTTCCAATAAATAGCAAAACCGTCGACAGAGCATATTTGTAAAGCGCAGGATATTTACCTTGTCTAAATAAGTGTTATAGAATCCTTCCAAACCAACCTGATGAAATTTCTTCTTTAACTTTGTATCACAACACATTTCACAATGTTCCATTTGTAATCCTCAGATGTTGTTACCAAAGACCAAGTTTCATTTGAAATGCAGAAATATGATCATACATCTTATTAATTAATTGATCTTTCCCTTGTCGACGTGTATTGACGTCATTTAGAGTTATATTGGCCAGTAAGGCAAAGTCGCAAACTCACTCTTTGTCTTCAAACTCTGGGATACTTATTGACTTGCCAGCAAAGACTGATTGTATTTCTTGCTGCAAATCAAACACTATTTTAAACATTTTGGCACGGGTCAGCCATCTTACTTCTGCATAAAATGTAACGTCATTATAATCTGGGTGCAAAGGCTTTAGTCATTCTTGGAACTGACGGTGATTCAACCCGTTCGATATCATGAAGTTAACTATTCTAACGACCACTTTCCTGACGTCGTCCATTTTGAGGGACTTCGACACATAGATTCTCCTGATGACTAATGCCATGAAAATTTAGCATTGATGTATTACCGACTTTTGAGGCCTCATTTTCAATACATTTTAGTAAACCTTTGTGTTTCCCAACCATTGCCGGAGCATCATCCACTGTTAAGCCGAATACTTGTTAAATTGTAACAAAAAGCGATTCAATGTCGCTGTAACTGCCTCTAACATATTTCGTGATTAAATAGTGCCCTTAAGTCGATACAGTGCAGCTAATTTTTCTGTCTTTTTTAAAATGGACAACAAAGCCCCCGATTAAAAATGCCAGTTGTGCAGTATCTGCCATATCTGCGGCATTATCTGCCACATCTGTGCTTTCATCCAAATACAAACTTGGGTGCTCCACTTTTCAATTTATCTTCAACATGTTTTCCAATGTCTTCCACACGCCTGCATGGTAGTAGTCTGACGAGACCGACTTATTTTCTAAAGATCCTTCTTTTTCTGGACACAGAATTTCATCAACGCTCTCCAAACAATCCTAACCCATTTCACCATTTGAGGATGGCCCCGATATTTTCGCTAGTATCATGGCTACTGCATTACTAGCTTTTACATCGCATGTTGACTCTAACCCGCTCTAGTAAATATCTTTTGTTGGGCAGTTTTTTTTTCTTTTAAAGACATTTACTTGGTCTTGCCAAAATTTCCCTTATCAAAGATATTTGCATTTTATCTCTCATAGTGCCAATTGAAGTTAAACTCTTTCAAAACAGAAACTGATTAGTTGCATGTTAAGAATATGGGCCTTTTTTTTTCTTAATTTCCACTAAAAATAGATTATAGTACAAAGCTCTTCAGACGCAGTGATGATAATGGAACGAAACTACCAACAAATTTTTTTTTAAAAATGAACTTTATCAAGCTGGAATGAAAATAGTTATGAGTATGAGCCTGATAGCGTTGTGAGACTGAAAGTAGTATTACTATGAGCCAGATAGAGTTGTGAGACAGAAAGTAGTTATGAGTATGAGCCAGATAGAGTTGTGAGACAGAAAGTAGTTATAACTATGAGCCAGATAGAGTTGTGAGACAGAAAGTAGTTATAACTATGAGCCAGATAGAGTTGTGAGACAGAAAGTAGTTATAACTATGAGCCAGATAGAGTTGTGAGACAGAAAGTAGTTATAACTATGAGCCAGATAGAGTTGTGAGACAGAAAGTAGTTATAACTATGAGCCAGATAGAGTTGTGAGACAGAAAGTAGTTATAACTATGAGCCAGATAGAGTTGTGAGACAGAAAGTAGTTATAACTATGAGCCAGATAGAGTTGTGAGACAGAAAGTAGTTATAACTATGAGCCAGATAGAGTTGTGAGACAGAAAGTAGTTATAACTATGAGCCAGATAGAGTTGTGAGACAGAAAGTAGTTATAACTATGAGCCAGATAGAGTTGTGAGACAGAAAGTAGTTATAACTATGAGCCAGATAGAGTTGTGAGACAGAAAGTAGTTATAACTATGAGCCAGATAGAGTTGTGAGACAGAAAGTAGTTATAACTATGAGCCAGATAGAGTTGTGAGACAGAAAGTAGTTATAACTATGAGCCAGATAGAGTTGTGAGACAGAAAGTAGTTATAACTATGAGCCAGATAGAGTTGTGAGACAGAAAGTAGTTATAACTATGAGCCAGATAGAGTTGTGAGACAGAAAGTAGTTATAACTATGAGCCAGATAGAGTTGTGAGACAGAAAGTAGTTATAACTATGAGCCAGATAGCGTTGTGAGACAGAAAGTAGTTATAACTATGAGCCAGATAGAGTTGTGAGACAGAAAGTAGTTAGGAGTATGGGCCTGATAGAGTTGTGAGACAGAAAGTAGTTAGGAGTATGGGCCTGATAGAGTTGTGAGACAGAAAGTAGTTAGGAGTATGGGCCTGATAGAGTTGTGAGACAGAAAGTATTTAGGAGTATGGGCCTGATAGAGTTGTGAGACAGAAAGTAGTAATGAGTACGCCACTGCACACTTTTTTTTTTTTATTTCACGCCCAGCTACTAAATTAATATTCTGATATCCCAACCACTTTGAAACTGAAAATTTTATTAAACCATATTTAAATTGAGACGATTTCATTTTCCGAAGAAAAAAACTGAACACTAAACACAATGGCATTATTAAAACAAATATCATTTAGCTTAGTTAACGGAAATTATATTTTGCAGGCATCCCGGAAATGGAATCAGTCACAACACAAGCAAAATATAAGTGATTCATATTTTGTCTGTTGCGTCTGTTCTCCAATCACAATCTCTATCTAAAGGTAATTTAAAAAAATAAATAAAATTGGCGTCATTGTTTATTCTTGGAGATAAGCTCAAAAAATGTGGTTAGAGAGTTCGCGTACTGTGGCTGAGAGTGTCAGAAAATGTTACACTGAAGAGCTAGGATCATGCCACCCGGGTTTTTGTGTGGGATCAGCTGTCAGGGTGAGCTGTATGTCGGCTCTGGGGGTGATGTTGGTAAGTGGTCTGCCCTTAATATGGGCTGTACGTCGTGTAGGTTATCAAACGTGTGTGTATACCATCTCTTCAAATATTAGGTGATGCGATGTAGATTCTAGCACACACTGAACATACACAAAGGTGGTCTGACCACTGAAATATTTCATTCACTGTATGGGACCGAGCTATTGCTCTTTAATGGCCCCGGCAAGTATGGAACAGGCCTGCCTCATCTGCTGGGCAGACCCGTACAACAGGCTCTCGACGTGGTTGGCTGGGAGCACCCCAGTCACGCCAGTCGCTAATGTTGGGCACCCGGCTAGAAGGTGCTCTACTGTCTCCGGTGCCTGTCCACAAAGGCGGCAGCTCGGGGTCAGACTAAATATCTTGAATAAGTTATCATCGGTTTACTAATATACGGCTAATATATAATTGATTTTTGCATCATTGACAAATGTATTATTGACTGATGTATTATTGACTGCTTTATTATTGACTGGTGTATTATTGACTGATGTATTATTGACTGATGTATTATTGACTGATGTATTATTGACTGGTGTATTATTGACTGATGTATTATTGACTGATGTATTATTGAATGACGTATTATTGACTTATATCGCACACCCCCCTTCCCCGACCCCCGAGAATTCCGCCCCTCTATAAACTGAAATTTAAAAAAATCCACCAGGGGCGTAACTCCCCCCCCCCCGCCATGCCCCTGCCTACGCCATTGTGTGTTATGTCCCAGAGTTCTAAAACAATTTATGATAAAGATGTGACGTTGTAGCAAGGGCGTGATTCCCTGCTCGTTCATCACTGGTCAGTTCCTGACATGGATTGTTAGTATTATGAAAACAATAAGTATTTTTATTTTTTATTTTAAATTTACATTATAATTATTTTTTTTAAACGACATACTGTTTAAAGGAATTTTTCATTTATTTTCTACAATTTATAATTTTAATATCTAAGTTACCTGTGTTTCAATCCACATATATTTTTTTCCAATAGATGAAAATTAGGCTAGATTTTTTAAAGATGCATAATACTTTGAACTAGAGGCCGACCGAATTTCGGCTTCGGTTTCGGCACCGAAAGTGGCCGTTTTATCACTTTCGGCCAAGTTTCGGTTTCGGCCGAAACTTAAAAGTTAACTTTCGGCTTAATTTCGGTTTCGGTCGAAAGAGAAAAGTTAACTTTCGGTTTTCTTCGGTTTCGGCCAAAATTGACTTAGACTTTCGGCCATCCGGCCGAAACTGACTCAGGTTTTCGGTCAATTTATACTCAGCGAAAGCGATAGTTAACAACAAACTAAGCGACATTTAAGAACAAATTAAGCGATCTTTGAGAACAAACTAAACAATCGTTAAAACAAACTAAGCGATCTTTAAGAACTATCTAAGCGATCTTTAATAACAAACTAAACGATTTTAAACAACAAACTAAACAATTTTTAAGACCAAACTAAATGATCTTTAAGAACAAAACAAATGATCTTTAATATTAAACTAATTGATTTATAAGAATAAAATAAGCGATCTTTAACAGAAAACTAAATGTTCTTTAGGAACAAACTAAACGATCTTAAGGAACAAAATCAATTATCTTTAACAACAAACTAAGCGATCTTTATGAACAAACTTAACGATACAGCAGAAGGTCTTGTACATGATGTCTGTGATGTCACGTTTCTCTGCTACCTTTAACTTGGGCTGATCTACTTGAGGAAATTAATGCTGCACAGCAGAATCGACAGAATAAAATATTTGCTCTTGACAAACTGGTGACCAACCTAGAAGTTTTAAGATTGTTTCTGCCCGAGAATCCCTGTCACTTGGTTGAACATGCTATTGAAAAGTTAATTTTAAAAATTAGCCCTCTATGGATTTTCTGTAGAGAGAAGATTAAGGTTTAAAAAGAACATTGCAGGAGAAACATCCATAGATCCTGGACTCTCTTTGCGAGAAGACACCTAAGGGTCTACTATCAACAAGTGAAGAAGAGTTATTGGTTTCCGTTCCATAATTAACCTCATCCTATGATGAGTTATCAGAGGATGAACTTTCAAAAGAATCTAAGGCTTAGAAGGCACACAAAAGCAGCTGATATTGAATTTCACAAAGTCATGGAGTGGTCAGTATTTGATGTTTCGAAATTCATAACTGAATGGGACTTCCTAGAATATCTTCCAATACTCTCGCTAAGCCTTCAACTGTTTCCTATGATCTGTGTGCATGTGGCTTCATGTGAGCGGATCTCTTCTAAACTAATGCTTATCAAGAACTACTTACGATCCACCATGAGACAGTCTATCTGGCTGAACTATCAGTTGAAAGTGATACGGTTTTAAAGACATTGATTTTGATCAAGAGACTGACAGGTTTGCATTTTTGGCTGGTGATCAGATCAGGGACATTTTTAATAAAGTAAATTTAATGTAAAAATGACTATAACTTAACGTTGTTACAGTTCTTAAATACATTTACCTCCTAACATTTAACTAATTTGTTTTTGTTCTTCTCATTGTCCTACTGCGGACTTACTTTAACAAGAACAAACCCATCGTGGAAGTTGGGGGGGGGGGGGGGGG